AAAAAAAAATCACCTACTTTACTCTAATTTTTTTCCTGTTCGATATTTATGTACCAAAAGCTACTTAAAAGGAATCTGAGGAGATTTTTTTAATTTATGAAAATATTTCTAAAAGCTGGCAGACTCAAGGAACCAATCACATGACAGCTTTCCCAAGACAAGCCACACCCATACTTCTCATGGTTTCCTGACAGTCCATGAATGTGGACAGGTTTGTCTTGACAAATGCCAGTGGCCCCTCCTTCTGGCGGCCACTGTTCCTCTTCAGATACTGTAGTCCTGCCTTTAAGTCATCAAACCTTAAACACACAAAGAATTTCTGAATAATACTGTCAAAAAAATTACATCTTACTAAATAAAATCACAGCCTGCAGTATTTCTATTTTTCAGTGATATTTTCAGCTTAAGATTTTCAATTTAATAGAGAGAAATAATTATACACAAATTAATCAAGGGACTAAACTGGGGTACATATTGGCACTTAGGACAATAAAATGTTTAATAGAAGTGAAAATTTGTTGAAGCATTACTACATCAACCTATTGAGATATTCCTACCCTGCACCGTGGTGGTTTTCCAGCAGGAACCAGGCAGAATCAAAGTTTTCCAGTTTAGTGTCCCCAGAACCTAGGGAACAAAATGAGATGTCCATCAGAATGTGTCACTGTCACATCTAACAAAAAGACTCACTACATTCCAGGATAAACTGTCACATGGACCAACAATTATTCATTAATTAGTTCAGCAACAGGTCATTGAAAAGAACAAACAGTAGCACAGATAACCACAGAATGTTCAGTGTGTATGTCTAACTTTGTATCCATTTGTCTCTCTCACTGTCTGTCTGCCTGCCTGTCTGTGTGTATGTCTAACTTTGTACCCATTTGTCTCTCTCACTGTCTGTCTGCCTGCCTGTCTGTGTGTATGTCTAACTTTGTACCCATTTGTCTCTCTCACTGTCTGTCTGTCTGCCTGTGTGTATGTCTAACTTTATATCCATTTGTCTCTCTCACTGTCTGTCTGTGTGTATGTCTAACTTTGTATCCATTTGTCTCTCTCACTGTCTGTCTGCCTGCCTGTCTGTGTGTATGTCTAACTTTGTATCCATTTGTCTCTCTCACTGTCTGTCTGTGTGTATGTCTAACTTTATATCCATTTGTCTCTCTCACTGTCTGTCTGTCTGCCTGTCTGTGTGTATGTCTAACTTTATATCCATTTGTCTCTCTCACTGTCTGTCTGCCTGCCTGTCTGTGTGTATGTCTTTACTGGTATAAATTGAATTTTATCATTACCTCATCTAAACATTTACCCTTATATATACACCATGAAATTACTCACACAAAGAGACTTCTAATTCAAAATGGAAACCTATGACTTCATTTACCTTCAGGGAATATTTCCAGCAAGATATCCTCTGCATACTTTCCCCTGAAATAACAGGTCACTTGAGGATAAAGCAGTTTTATGTATATTTCTTGTTCATGCAAATCAGTGTTTATATTCTCAGAGATAGACTGGCCACTCCTCAACCCCTTTTACACACACACACACACACACGCACACACACACACACACACACACACACACACACATACACACATACACACACACACACACATCTCATACTCACTGGTTGCCCTCATCAGACAACCCCAGGGGGTTCTCAAAGTCTCGGCTGACCACGGGAGAGGAAGCCCTGCCACGCCCCAGGCGATCCAACGTCTGAGATTCATCTATCCAGATGGCAGACTCCTGTAAGGGACCTGAAGAACAAATACAGGTACAGAGTTCTGGTGCAGTTGTCTTGACTAAAGAGGGAGCCACCAAGCCATGTGGCCAGGAGACCATCTCAACAAAGAACTCAAACACAAATCCTTACTTTGAGCCAATTACCTGCAGAAAAGTTTTATCTGCTCACCTCCAACCTTTTGAACACTGATTTTGTGAGAAATTAATTGTCCGGCAACAGTACAGCCCAAATTTTGGATGATCTTAAAAAACAAGTCTTTGGAACACGTAAACATTTTACATTTCAAAACATTTGACTTTTTTTTACTATCAACTTTCACCTTGACCTATTTCCCATGACCTTTGACCTTGACCTACCAGTCTGAACAAAGTATCCCCTGAAGCCTACAGTACAGGTGCCTGTGCCTGCAGACTTAGTGGTCACCACAATGTCCCCCTTGCCCTTCCCCGGCCCCGTCCTGGCAATGATCTTGTTGGGGGATTTCCATTCTGCTGAGAGGTAGCAGTCTACACCACAGATTTTGAGACCTAGGACAATGACAGAAAATAAAGTCAAGTCAAAAGATTTTCAAAAATAAAAAGGCTTATATTTGTATTTTACAACAGTCCAAAGATAATTTAAGTGTACAAGTTTATTGAAAATAATAGTTTATGAATTCTTACCAATCAAATCCTTGGGCTCAGCCCCCAGGTTTTCCCCCCTGATGGTCACCCTGGTCCCTGGGGGCCCCTCCTTGGGGGAGATCCCTGTTACCAGGGGTGGCTCAACTGACATTATTCTGGATACACCTCACACATCACTAGAGGACACCTAAGACGACATGACACTTTGTAAAATTATCACAATTTTATTGGCTAGGAAATGTACAAAAGTAATTATCATATCAAAACAACATAAAAATGCATTAAGTAAATAATTAACAAATAAAATAACAAATAAATTAACACTTCTTGCACTTCTTTTCCTCTGAGATTCATGATATGATTTATTTAATATTTAAAAAGTAAAGTGCGTGTGTGTTTGTGTGTGTGTGTAAATAAATATGAATTAAAAGAGAGTTAAGACACTTTTTTCCAATGTTGGATGATCACATGGCTAGCATCAAACAGGATAAAATTTAATTAAGGTTAAGAGATAGTAAACACAATAAGTTTTATCTAATGAAATAATAAGGTCTGTTTAAATTTCTTACCAATTAAATAAAACTTTTCTTACAAGAACTTTTGAACTGAGATTTGTTTATGGTACATTTTACTTGGACTAGGAGCTCATTTCATAGAACAATACTTGATAATTTAAAGGATGTCTTTCAGAAAGATTTGACAGTAGGTAGCTTAAATAACAAGGGCACTGGGTCTTGTGTTTATCTAACGCCAACATCGTATTTGTTCAAAACCGGAAGATAGAAAGTTTGGCCTTTAACCCTGCGAGACGTTAAAGACCATATTCAGCTTAAGCTGACAGACTAATAAGCTGGCAGGCAAATAACCAAGTGGCAACTATTGTAAATTTTGGGGGATTTAGGTGTTTTCTACTACTTACTCGGTAACTAACTTGACGACAATTCTACTTTTAGTTCTAGTCAAAGATTCACGTATGTTCTCTAGACAAAAATTAAAAATAACCACGCACTATCTTAAAAGTAATGCTAGTTCGTGTCTGGGACAGCATATAATATCTAAGAATTCACCTGTTTTTAGAATTTTCCACTTTTTACCCTGGCAAGATCTAGGTCCCGAGAACTCCTTCTTTGAGTACACAATTTATAACCTCCAAATTCAAAAGAGTTATACCTCTTTTCAGGACGCTCCTCCATTTAAAAATCTCTTTTTTTCATCGTATAAAAAAGAAAGAAATATAAAAAATCCAAATTCCTCTTATGCTTTAACGAGTTAAATGTTTAGACCTACTTACTTTTACCATGTCAAAATAAAAGAATCAGGATACCTCCATCAGCAGCCTACAGGCAAACTCACTCTGAAGTGCTGCCACCGTGCGGGCTATACCAGCGTTGAGATACAACATAATTATTATGTACACAGGGGGAGGGGCATAAAATTGGCTTCTGAACAAATACTAAAAATATTCAGTTAGATAGGTAGATTTCGAAATCAGTCTAGAATCATTCCCTAATTTGAAACGCAAACCATTTTAGATGTTCGTGGTAAAAACACCGCCACATAGGGCCTATGGACTAGACAAGAAAACACGGTAAAATACTGAGAACATCCCCAGCTGACCCCTCACGTCAGATAATTACACTTTGGCGATAACTTCATGTCTGTATAACACTTTAACTAATTGCAGTACATGCAACGGGGTCGACTTAAGGTGAACAGGTAATTGTTAATTCAGTTGTGACCATGCAATTACGTAACTGACGAAATAGTCAACAGGTAAATCAAACATGTGGATCAATCATACATGCTAACTATCAAAAACTGAGATTCAATGAAAATTTTTACACGTTCTACCAGGATGGTAATTAAATGTTTTTACATGTAGGCCTACCTATCTTTGTTTTTTTACTTCTTCAGTTTGGTTTTCTTAGGGCCTACCTGGAATTCCACGGCAACCCATGGGCATATATTCCTGAAATCTTGAAATCGATCCTTTCAAAATGATAATAAATACATGTAAATAAATGAACAAGTTGTTGTCTTTTTTATGTTCAAAGCAATTATTTTTATTTGAACAATCTAACTTGGACAGATCGACATCGAGGCTGATAAAGGTTTAATTTGCATATAAGCTGGAGTATTTTATGAATATTTTTTATTTAGATAAATAAATATCAATTAAGATATGCAAATAGCTCCAAAAAGAGAAGGGCTGTATTCAATATATTTGACGTGGTTGCAAGATTTCAAGAGCAGCGAGGTCTTGCACAGAGTTAAGATAAATACTTTTTTTAAAATTTTATTTCTTTTGGAGCTCAGACAAGAGAATAACTGACTTCTTTTAAGTTACTGTGAAGAAAAGTTAAAAAATTTAAAATCTAAACATTTGTAAGCAAGCCATGACCATAATGTTAATAACAAAAACATGTTTACATACGTGTACAGATATCTAGCCGTGAAATCGATATTCCACCTGACATTTTATTACCAGACAATCTTCTTCCTGCACGGTTCTCTCATCATTCCCAGTACATGGAAATGCAATACACAACGATATTAATACACTTGATTACGCGCCTATCCTATATGACTGAAAGATAATAGATCAAATGATGAGCAAATGACGCCAATGCTGTACAGTATATCCATTATTTCCTGTATATAAATATATATATATATATTTCATAACAGGATTTTTTTTGCCGTGTCCAGCTGCTTGTGCAGGAGCTCGAGCTAGATAGGCCTACTAGCAGCACATACACGTGAATAACCCGCGTTACATATTATAACACTTAACACTTCCCTATAGTCTTGAAGAGGCACTGGTAGGTGGTGACAATAGTATTTTTAGCTTTAGCTTTTAACGGACTTACAGGCGTCCGTGTGACATCCGTTCTGGAGCAAGCACCATGCAAGCAACGTTTTGTTGGTTTACGTACCTGTTGTTTTCTACTGGTGTTTTGCTTGTTAGTGGCAACTCTGATGTACCACAAGATTCCAATGAAACAAGTCTGTCCGCGGAAGATTTACGGTCGGTTGATCAGGACAAGGAGGCAGTGGGAGTCAATGTGAGTGTCGCTTTCTGGCGAAATGTGTCGACATTTCTGGCCAGTTTTCCGGTAAACCAGTGGGTTTGTTTAACAGGAACTGCGGCCATCTTTCCAGAGAGAGTGAAGATGACTTGTTACTGTGACAAGTTCTGTGCTATGTTTGGAGATTGCTGTTTTCCTCAACGTCTTTGTCAAAAGTCAGTCTCGAGTAGACCTGAAACAACACCACTGGCAGTCCGCAACATTACCACAGATAATATACAATGCCTGTCGCAGACAACGGAGGAGCTAGATTGGAACAGATACAGGTTTTACCGAAAGTTTTACGCCATGATTTCATCTTGTCCCTGGGGATGGGGGGATGACATCACACGGGAAAAGTGCGAGAGGGACTGGGGGACGGACGCCGGCGTTCTTTTAGGCCCGGTTTCAGACTCGGGCACAAACCTAACATTTCGAAACCTTTACTGTGCGCGCTGTTTTGGCATTTCTCGGTTCGTTCCTTGGGCGGCGTCCGTGAAGTGCGACCGAACTTCCTCCAAGTTATTCACAAATCTCACCAATGTCGAGGACATCTGGCATCAGGCGTCGCTGAGTGATGACTGTTTCGTATTTTACGAGCCTCCGACCCCCTCTCTCGGAAGACCCTGCTACAAGGAGGGCGTTGGCCACAATACATTGCTTCCATGGAACGGTGGAGACCTCTGTCCCGAGACTTATAACCTAGAATACGGGAACCTCTGCCGCCATGGCCCTTTTGCGTATACGACAGTCATCGACGGGATAGGACGGATGAAATACAACGGGAGAAACATTTTCTGCTTTTTATGCCACAAATGGAACAGGACCAGCGAGAATGGATGTGGGCCTCAATGTAAGTCTTAATAACACTTACTGAATATCGGCAAGGATACATTTATCTACTAACAGATATGTATCAAAATTCTTTTGATTGATAACTTAATTCATATAACCGGAGGAGATAAACGTTTGCGTATCAATTATTTAATAATAGTAGTACATTAAAGAAACCGAATAATTTAATTCTTTCTGTTTGGTTTGTGCGGGATTCTTTCATGAGTTTGGCAAAATGTCATTTTCTTTTCTTTCATTCTGCTTATTTACAAACAAACACTATATACGTCACATATTATTTACAAAATAAAAGGACCTTGGTTCATGAATACAGGCCTACCAAACCTAGCTGGTACTGGTTACATGACATTTGCCAATTTATTATTTGATCTATATTTATAGCGACTGAACTATTACTTTCATTATGAGACACCATAACATAACAAGTCATGTTTGTCTTGATCCCTAAAAGCCAAACTACCAAGCAAAAGAAGTTTTGATGAGGTAAAATGCCGTAGCCTACTAACATGTTTTGACCAGCCAAAACAATACAAAACAGAAAAATGCACTGTACGATGTAAATAGGCCCTTAAATTTCTTTTCATTTTCGCTTTTGGTTAGACGAAGGGAAAAAGACAGGATTTGAAGCCATCATTGGTAATCCAACTGCTGACCAGAGACAAATCAGTCCACTGAGGCACCTGCAGGTAAAGCAAGGCAATATGAGTGAATTGATCACATGCGCAGGCCTGTAGCCACTGATCTCAAAGGGGGTTCTTTTTCAGGAAAATGTTGGCCATATATTACCATCTTAACCGAGCAATTGCATCGGTTGTTAGTGTTGTGTTATCATGGCGAACCCGTTCCAGCCAAAGGGGCAGTCCATCCCCCCCCCCACCCCCGCCCGCTACCTACTGCTTACGGGCCTGATTCGTAAATTCACTAGATTTTAAACACACTTTCATATATATTCAGCGATTGCTTTACTGTAACTTTAAGTCAAAGTTGACATTAATGAGCAAATAGGAAAGTAAGCTCGTGCGGGCACTGGCTCGTGATGTAGGCTATATATACATATAGATTACGCCTATGAACGCCTTCACGTAATCTAAGATATTAGAAAAGTGATGCAGTGGCCTTACCAATTAATTAACATACACGCAAGCATACGGACAACTCTGTCCATCCTATGTCTTATTATCGTCATTATCTGTACAGGTTTTATTGAGGGGCAGAAATAAAACGAGCTCTCTATTACAGGGGGGTTGCACCCGGAAGTCACCAATGTGCCAACAACTCTTACACCATCTGATCAACTTGGAATTTGATTTTTACATCCGGCTGACGTCACCAAAGGTGTTGACCGTCGACCCCGTGTATTCCCTTCAGAAGTGTAACAACCTGAACTCTCAGATGTTTGGGAAGTACGGGGTGATGCATCTCCTCAGGCAACATGGCTACCGCGTTCTTCCGGGAGGGTATAACTGCGTCCTGAACGTCAGCGACACAGGAACCACGTTTCTTGCTTATGTGCCATTGCTCCTGGGAAACGTGTCTGTCAACTATTACGACGCAGAGAATTCATTTAATACTCTACTGGTACAGTTAGCATGTATTGCCGCAATCGCCAGTCCCAAGTATCCCGATAACCAAGTGGAATTCGAAGCGTCGATCATTCCTCCAAACGGAGAATTAGAAGTTGGTTGCCCAACCCGGGAACCGAAACGCCCAGAACATGCCAACGCAAGAGCTTCCAGCAGATATGATGGTATCTGGATTTTTGGTTTACTGTTTTTGTTTTGGTCCTTGGGCCTTGGAATTTATTGATCGAAGTTATCGTTTATAAATGATTTTGCTATTAATTTAGATATATGTTAGAAAATGCAGATGCAAAACTATAGATTTATACATGTTTATTTGGGTGAAGAGTTGTTGTGGTCGATTTGTAATGTATATTTTTTATCTAGAAATTTGTAAAACTTGATTGGTAAAACAATGGAAACCACATAAAGAGATTTAAAATGGCAAAAAATGGCAAGAAACTCCATTTGGACCTGAATAAGTTCAATAATCGCTTATTTAGTCACTGTGGAAACGTTTTGAATAATGTAAACAGAAAATAGTAAAACAAAATTATGATTGTTGGTACAGGGAGACACATAAATAAGTCCACTTTCATTACGACTTCAAAGCCTTAGCAATATTGAAACAATAAAAAACATTTAGGGTTACTTTTAACAGAGCC